TCTATCTATCTATCTATCAAACATGCATTACATGCACAGATAGAAATATACAGTGCACATATGTTCATGAATACAGACACATACATACACACCAATCTGCTCACTTTAAACTGTCACATGCTGTGCACTATGTCAGAAATGTATACCCAGTAACACTCCAACAGTGTGGACACAGACACTTCAGACAGTTGTGTGAGAAATCTCACTGTGTTTCCAGCCAGGCCCCTCAGCATTAACATGAAGCCCTAGGACCTGCAGTCTTAAAACAAACACAGAGAAACATACATAACACTCCTACTCCATAAACACAACCTTGGTCTCTTTCCAGAGAGATTTTAATGGGCTCAGAGAGCATGAGGCCAAGGCTGTAGACTATGTAAGCTCTGGGTTCAATCCTGCTCTTCACTACCCTCTTCACTACTGAACTACATCAAGTGGATTTCCTGCCCTAGCTGTCCTCCTTGAAGCTTTCCACCTGGGTGTTCCAGTCTTTGACGTGGTGTGTGGTGTGTAGCCATGCCAGATGTAGATAACTAAATCATAGGTTTAAGAGAGGATATGATATATGCTAAGGATGGTGAGTGACAGTTGAAATGCTGCATTGTTTTGCTTGTGGTTGGACAAATCAACAGCAATTATAAGGCAGGACAAAGCCAGATATTTCAAGAGCCCTGAAGCACCGTGCCTGCTTACATACTAGTGCATGTAGCCCCTGACATGTGCTTTGCTCAGTCTATGAAGATTTACAAGACCACAGGCGATATTGTTGACATGCTGCTGGAATGTGTTGCAACCTCTGAGTTGCTTTAAGCACCAACGGAATGTAAGCAACTCCTAAAGTCAGTTACACTCTAAATATATTAGATATTAGGTGCATAAATGAAGCAATGTAGCAACCCTAATCCCCTGGCAAATTGGCAAGAATGTCTCAACTGACTGTAGTGGATTATATATGAAGAAATTGGATAAATTAATTTAGAAAGGCCATTACTGAACTGACAAACCTGTATTTAACATAATCACTTAGAACGCTTGAATTCCAGGATCTAGTCCACACTGAAAATAAATCATATTACAAGGCTGAGATCGACAAAAAAACATAACAATTTTCTGTAGCACTCGAGCCATGGTTGCATTGATGCATACATGAGGTACAGTGATGAGATTGGTACAGATGTGAGGGTTCCAGGTGGTGAATCATATATTTCCAAGACATTCAGACTATAGTAGACCCAGGGGAGAGCAGAAAAGGGAGATGATAAGGTGGAGGGGGAGACAGTGTCTTCTCATCAATTTACATCCTGAAGTTGTTTTGAAAGCCAGACCCTACGTTTTTACATTTGGTTCTGTTTCCTTCCAGACGGCCTCCTTTTGAATCCTCCTCCTCCTCACTGGGGAAAAGCCTTTCAACTCCCCGTTATACACTAACAGACACACCCGCATGAGTTCATGAACACATATCTACAATCACACACAGCTAGAGAATCTAGAGTGCATAACTTTCTCTGGATGAAGTATAGACATCAGTCTAAAATGCTGATACTATCCTGGTAAGACAAGGGAAAACACACACTATGTTACTTTGGATGTTTGTTGTGTGTTTAGTTTGAAATCTAGTTTCAGGTCTAATCCTGCGGCACACAGCTTGATTTCAGCATCTTGCACTGACGCTTTTCCACTGCTCAGTAGTTGCGTTCCTTTCTCAGACTGGTGAACTACTGTAGGCTCTTTTTGGTGGCCAGAGATCAGAAAAACAAAACTTCTTACATCTATAATTCTGTGATCGTCTGACTGCTCTTGTTTCTTGCTGCGTTGGACTTGTTTTCAAAGATGCTACCTTATTCTGGGATCTCAGCAATGACTGTTGTGAGGAGGCTACAGTGTTATCACAACCGTTAGAACCTACAGACAGAGCTACAGACATAAAACCCAGGTTGTAAACCATAGCTTTTCCTTTTAGCATGGCACCATTTCACCCTTTTCACAAGGTTTTCCTGTGCCATTGGACCCTGCAGTGATCAAGTTTAAGATCAGTGAGCTCACCCTCTGCCAGAAAAGAGGCACACTATATGATTGGATTGTTACAGTAAGTGCACACAATGCTCTGCCTACCTTTATCACCCTGTTACAAGCAGCTGCAGCCAAACAGATGTGCGTATGCACTTAAGATAGAGGGTAAGTGAATTCCGAATGGTGCTATCTGGTCCCATACTCAGTCACTCATCGGTCACAGCCTTTCCTATCCTCTTCTTGAAGTGTAGCAGTCATTGTAACTGCCATCTTTCACCCTGCCTCTGATTTAGGGTGGGGGAGAGCAAGGAAGTGGCAGTAGAAATAAACACTGTCGCACATTAAACAGGCACAGTCAGTATGAGCGGGGGACAGCAGCTGCAGTAAGTCTCCTTAGGGAGCTCTTTCCCTCCTTGCATATGTGCAGTACTGTCAGAGA